CGTTCCCCCGCTCTTTCCTTCCCTCCAATTTTTATCTCGATCGTCCACTTGGACTCATCGGAACTCTGTTCAAGAAAAAATGCAGAAGATTTCAATATTTTTGTAAAAAATTCGTAACCAACTGTACAAAGTTTGGTCACCATACGTTAGAATATAATTGATTCGTCGAGTAATCTTACCACGCGTAACAGTGTATATTACTCTCTTCTTTGCTTCAACAATTTATTTTGCGAGATAATAAAAACAATTTTTCGTATCATAGTACAAATGGATGTGAAGTATTTCTGGTGTACTCTTAATGCACTTTTTCTTGAAAAGCATTTTGTTCCTTTTGTTTGTAATTACTCTTTCAATAAAGTATTAGACTTCTTTCGAAAACTTCTAGTTTACGACACATATTTTTAAAAAGTCTAATCTAATTCAATAATTCAAAGTTCAATTGTAATCTAGTATTACAACTTTTTACTGATAGCTAAATATTAAGATGTATATTACAAGTTAAGCATATACAGGATGTCTCATATAAGTTGAACATTTTAATTATTTCAAGATCATTTAAAGTTCTTAGTGTTATAGGCTACTGAACTCGTCTTGATGCTGACTATAACGTCGTATTATTAAAAATACATGTTAATATAAAAACGTAATAGAGATTTTGAAATGACCTTCAAGATGACCTTGAGAGAACTTTTTTTAATCATCGTAGTAGGAAATAATTTAGATGTTCAATTTAAACGGAACACCCTGTATATTTAACATTAAAGTTAAAAATTTGCCATTAAAGTAACGTTGTTCACGAAAGAAATTTTCTACACCGTGTTAATAATTTTCGATAAAACGATACAATTAATGTCAAGGAACAAAACGTATGCTAAAATTAATGACTTGAAATTATCGTTTTGTTTTCTATAATGTTGAAGGTGGACTGAGCAAGTTTATTTTGTTTATGACAGAAATCTGAACAACACTGATCAACGTTAATTTTCTTTCTTTTTTTTTTGTAGTTTAAAATAATCGAATTTATATACTTCAAAAGTTGTCTAGAAAATACTAGAGAATATAAAATGTAAAAGTCATAGTAATGAGAAACGTGAAATTATGATTAAAGTAAGAAAGTATAACGTATCAAAAAGGAATTTGTCGGCAGAAAAATTTTGTGCATTTTCATTCTCCTAAATTAAATTTTTATCTTAGAAATTTCTTATTTTAAAAGATTTGCTACGTGTATTGTAAGTTTGAGATAATTTTGATTGAATCCTTCTTTTATTCTTCGTTATTTTTATTCTCTTTTTATATTTTAATTCATTTATTTTACTTCGTATTAATTTTTCGCTTAAAATATTTTTTTTATTTCTTTTCTTAAATATTAACATAGAATTCAACATAGTTGTATATATACAATTAGTCCGTTGTTTCTTCATATGCATGTTCGTATGCATTAAAATATAGTTTACAATAAAGATATCAACCAGTAATGTGTACCTAAATATAATATGCATAGATAGTAATAATTAAAGCGATATAACGAAAATATAGAGGTATATATAATTACCTACTCCATATGTGTTAACATTAATACTTTGACTCCCACGCACTTTTTATATGGTACGCTCAGGGGGCCACAATAAAATTTCTATTATTCTTACGATAAAATGATGAATTATAAAACAATATGGCAAAAAAAAATGGTGCAAATTATTAATGTCTTTTATTTAAAGTTCTCTATTTATTTGCGTTCTTCAAATTTTCAAAAAATAATTGAAATAAAACAAATACAAATTTAAAAAATTAGTATCGCCAGACACTGGTGACAGTCAACGTGTTCATTTTACTAAAAGAAGCTGCATATTTTTAATAACTGCAAAAAATAAAATGTCTGCAACCATTCATTTTCACTTGCCTGGTAATCCTAGTGTTAAAAGAAATCGTATCTAGAATAATAACACATATATCGACCAAATATAGAAAATTAAACAATCTAAATGTTTTCGACTATTTATATAATTAATGTATTTATTTTCTATCATTTTACTTCTTGAAGTTTAAGTAGAAAATTAACCTCAGATTTGAATGATCGTTATACAGTGCTGGGCAAAAGTATTGACAAAGCATGGTTGTTGTGGTACAAGTGCTTATAATTACTAAACAAATCTATTCTAGTATTGATATACTAAAATAGATAATAAATGAATATGTCAAAAAGTTTTTCTTTCAAATCAATTTGTTTAGTAATTATAAGCACTTGTACCACAACAATCATGCTGTGTCAATACTTTTGTCCAGTTCTGTACATTAATTTGTATCTATAAAAATATATCCTTAGTAATTTAATGTAAATGTAATAAAATGTAAATAATCTTTATCGTATAGAAGTAAATTTTTCTTATTGCTTTTGATAGGGAATGCTGAACTGACGAATTTGTTTAAGTGTAAGAAACAAGGGCATCAATGTTGCGCTCCAAAATCGTTGATACGAGATTTCATTGGTGGAAATTCTAGTGAGCCAGTTTTGAGTAACAGGAATGACACTATGTACGTTACTTCGAGGCCATACACAACGCCACTTACAACAGCTACATGTAAGTTATTAAAAATATATTTATATTTGTATGAAAAATATATACAGGGTGGGTTAAGTACATTTATCCATTTAGAACACCATTTATCACAACGAAATTTTAGTCAGTGTTCAATTAATGGAACTTCAGGTCTGTAGTTATGCTTTTGAAGGACCTAAACAACATCTGTTTGTAACAATTTTTGTCAATATCAACCGTCTGATGAACACCAGACTCACAAAATTTCATGTTTCTGTTTATAACAGCTTTTTATTTTTATTTTATGAATTTAATATTTAAAAGTAAGCATTTTATTTTGCAATTATAATTAGTTTGTTTCCTATATTGTTGTTTGTGAAGATAAGATTTCAAGATGTAACACTGTGGGAAGTGTGAGGTCGTAGTTTGCATTTAATATGCCTTATGGTAAATACGACCTTACTACTGTCGATTAAGTTTGCTTATTTAAACGTGAATTGTTTGAACGAGCAATTAAAAGAGAGAAAATATTAATTATAATATTTTCATTTGGATAAATAAAGTTCGACTGTAAAGGGTTATGAACAATTTTCTTAAAAACTAGTGACAAAATATCGACTTCAATAATTTATCTATGACTAGCAGAGCAATAAGGAGGAAATCTACAGTCCTTTAAGTGAAATATAATTTATTTGTCTCTTTTTGAAGTTTTTATCGAATGACATTTACCAAAAAAAGAATAAAAATAAGAATGTTCAAAATGTCGCCATTTTTTGGTATCTTTCCAATTCTGTTTTAATAGGAAAACTATAAAATTTATGTTTTCTTTAAATATGCATTATTTATTTTATTAAATACCTAAATGTTTCTTTCTTTGACCTTCGAAGTTCAAAATTCTGGTTTATTTATATCTTGCATTTCAATGTATAATTTACGTCAATATATTTATAGATAAACGTTTTATAAAAAAATTTGAAGATTGATATAGCTGAAATGAATCAATTCTTTTTTCTTAATTTAATTGCCCAATGAAATTTGTCATTCAAGAATACTATATTCTTTTATTTATATCATTTGTTCATGATTAGTAAATCTCAGGATATTGAAATAAATACCGTACAATTTTGTGATTGATTTTTATTTACACAAACTACCACCAATTTCGTGAATGATTTTCATCCTGTCAATATTACAATATAATTGTTGATGAGGAAATGCAAAATAAATATTTCTTTTTTTTTGTTTTTACTAATGTCTCACCAGAATCTCTACCTTTATTTTAACTGTTTGTAATTTTATCTTCATAATATTTATATAATTTATTTAGAAAATGTTATTTAGTATTTAGTTCATCTTTTAGTATTTAGTTTTTTTGTATTTTATAGATAAAGGTACTAAAAAACAGATTGTTCTCTTTATAACAGCTGCCTACTGGATTTTTCATTGCATCAACTTAAATAGGACACTCTGTATATAGCAAAAGAGAAGTTACACGGTTATATCATTCAAATTGTAAAGTAATTCAATAATATATGTAATATTTATAGTAAATTAATTACAAACAATTCACCATTGATCAGTTATGAAAATATTGCAAGGCAACTGCAATACTATGTGCTACCCATGGAAATAAATTGTTGGTCAAACACGATAATACGAAATTACCTAAAATTACTTTTATTTAAAGTAACTTTTTAGATGTAAAGCGCTATAATAAAGGGATAAAATGAGGTGTTAAATCAGTTTAACATAAAATAAAAACAAAACAAAAAATAATTTAAATTTTTACTTCTCATCGAAGCTAAAATACCGAAAGAAAAGTGTTACGGAGTTTGGCAAGAAATTTCTTGCCAGAGATAATAATAAGAAATATAGAAACATCGAAACTACACAACTTTTGTCTAAATCATTTTTACGTATCTTTCGTATTTTTTTAGATATTTGCCATGGGAAATTGAAATGACACGCCCGGTATATTATTGAATTATTTTCCAATTTTACTGACACAATCTTAAATAGATATAATTGAATACAGTGATTAGTCGAACGTCTAAAAATACTTGCATCATCTGTTGGAATCTAACTTTCCAAGTTAGCTTTCAATTTTGACAACTTCTATGCTTTGTTCATTACTAACCCTTTCGCGGCGGAGCGCTGAGAAATGAATTGCGCTCTAGGCAGCCGGCGTGACGGTGGAAGATGGAACGCGTGGACAACACGATACGCGCGAGTCGTTCCTAACGCGGTGTGCAGAGCCGATTTTGCTGGTCATTTCCTCGAGGCTGCTGGCCGGCACGCCGATCAAACAATAATATTAATAATAACAACAATTTTAGTAATCTTTAACGATCTTTAATAATCTTAGATAATCTTTAACAATTTTTAATAATTTTCCTTTGTATGATATAATTTAAAGCAGGGTTCAATACATAATCCAACGTTACAGTCTTTACATTCGATTCGTGTTTCGGTTTGCTTTTTGTGTTTGCTGCAAACCACACATTTCCGCCGACCGTCCTGCCGCTTTCCCGTGGGATTGGTATATTTGGATGGAAAATGTCTTGAAACCAGTCGTAAGAGATTACCTTTGGATGCAGTTTGGCCTCCAGACTTATTACTACATATATTTTCATTTGGATATTTAAGTAGAATTTCTCGAATGAGACGTAAATGAAATTTCGCAAATGTTATATTCTTTTGGGACGTAATCTTGTAAAGTATGTAAGCATTGTAAATCGAAAGGTCCAGCATGCGGAAAAAGAATTTCTTATACCATTTCAGAGTTTTACGAACAGTATTAATGGAATTTAAAATCGTATCGGTTTTATCGACTGCTCCCATAACGCGATTATAGTCTACTATGACACTTGGTTTTAGTATTGGTGTTCTCGTTTTAACATCGTTTCTTTTTGTTTCTGTATACTCAGCAGAATGATAGCTTGATAACATTAGCACTTCTCTTTTGTCCATCCATTTTAGTGCTAACAGTTTATCCGTAGATTGAAATGTAATTTCGTCTTTAGATAATTTATTAGATATATTAGGCATTCCACGTCTGGTTCTCTTCACGGTTCCAAATGCATTTGTCTTATTATAATATAGGAGCGAAAATAATGCCGGACTTGAGTACCAGTTATCGGTAACCAAAACATGACCTTTATTTAAATATGGTTCCATCAGCGTCATGACAATATTTTCTGATTTGTCAATTTCTGGTAAATGATTATTGTTAGTTATATCCGTGCGCGCTCCACAATAGACAATAAAATCTTGGATATATCCAGTATAACAGTCACAGATAACATACGACTTGATTCAAAATCTACTTCGTTTTGAAGGTATATACTGCTTGAAGAAACATCTTCCTTTGAAAAGTAGCAAGCTTTCGTCGATGCATAAGTACTTATACGGATAAAATGCTTGTGAAAAAGAATTTCGCAGTCTGTCGATGATGCACCGAATTTTTATTAGCACATCTTGATTTGTTGTCTCACTGTTGTCGTGAAAGTGCAGCATTTGTAATAGAGATTTAAATCTGTCTTTTGTCATTATTCTTGGAAAACTTTCCGTTCGTAATAATTCGTCGGTTGACCAATATTCCTCTATTGACACTTTCTTTACTCTTGACATTAACATGAACAGAGCAAAAAATCGATACATTTCAGTCACTATTGTATTTTTCCATGCCAGCAATCGTGAGTGCCTACTACGTACAGTTTTCGTGGAATAATAATTATTGCTTTCTCTTACAATATGTTCAACCATATTTTCGGAAAAGAAAAGTTGAAAGATTTCTAATATTGACGATTTATCGTCAATATTTGCTTTAATTCCTGCTAGATTTTCATCAAAATCAAAAACTTTTGGAGCCAAATTTTGTGCGCTCCAAAAAAATTGCGGCGGATCGATGTTTGGTAATTCCTCAATGTTTTCAGAATCAGATTCAGAGCTACTTAACAGTAGGCGTCTCTTGTTGTATGTATTTTGATTTTTACCTTTGTATTCAATTTCTCCAAAAATTTCAGACAAGTCAGAATCCGATGACAGTTCCATACTATCGCAGCTCATATTCGTCGTCCATTTGGCCATGATCGGGGCAAAATTTATGGATAATTATATTTGATTATGTAAAAATATCTCTGCACAAGAAGCGTGTGCTGCTAGCGCATCGAAAACAAACGATTTAATGGACATTATTGGACAGTTACTGATAACAAGTGAACGGCGCCAAAAGGCGCTGTTCGCTCAGAGAAAGCGACTCTGGATGAGCGCCAAAAGGCGCTGTTCGCCGTGAAATGGCGAACTTAATTAATTATACAAATTATAATTAATTATAAAATTATAAACTTATACAAATAGAGAACTTAAACAAAATGTCTTTCTAAGTTGGAACTGATATTAATTTCATAGATGAAACAACGACGGTGATGACAACTATGAGAAGTCCTGTATACAGCAAATATGTGTGCGGTGTGAAGGGAACTTCCCGTGGTCCGATTCAAGCGCGTAATTTTGAAAGAGGAGCACGCGTTGTCGGTGGCGAGGATGCGGATGCCAATGAATGGTGTTGGCAAGTTGCTCTGATCAATTCCTTGAACCAATATCTTTGCGGTGGTGCGCTCATTGGAACACAATGGGTCTTGACAGCAGCACACTGTGTAACAAAGTAAATTTTATTACGATTATTACGTTATTATAACTTTTAAATGCTTACTTTGAGTGAATTAAACAATTTTAAAAAACATCTTAATTTTACTTACAGTATTGTAAGGTCTGGGGATGCTATTTATGTGAGAGTTGGTGATCACGACTTGACGAGGAAATATGGCAGTCCTGGTGCTCAGACTTTGCGAGTAGCAACCACTTATATTCATCATAATCATAACAGTCAAACACTCGATAACGACATAGCATTGTTAAAACTCCATGGACAAGCAGAACTTAAAGATGGTGTTTGTCTAGTATGTCTACCAGCACGAGGAGTTAGTCACACAGCTGGTAAACGATGTACTGTCACCGGTTATGGATATATGGGTGAAGGTATGTTTTTTTTTATAAATATACTAGATATTTATTTACTAGATTTTATCATATACTAGATTTTATTTTGCATTCGTATAGCAGAGACCAGATTAAATTGAAAATGTTAATAAAATCATTCATCGAATAATAAGTTTGGATTATATTGTAATAGAAAGATTATAACCTTAATTTGTTGAAATTATTCGTATATTTGTAAATGCAGTTTTATGAAGATTAATATTAAGTAATACTTCTTAACGTGTCAAATTCTTTTCATAATTTATACGAATGGAAAAGATTAATTCCGATACAGTCGAGTCTCCTATAACGCGATTAATTCGAACCGCGTTCTATGGAAACTGCGTTATGAGAAACATAGTAATAAGACAAATCAGATTAATTTATACCGCGTTATATGAAAACCACTGTCGCGTTATATAGAAACCGCGCTATAAGAAACTCAGAAATAATACAAATTGAATGAATTCGTACCGCGTTATATGCAATCTCAGAAATAAATAAATTGTACATAAATCATAAACGATACGGTTAATAACTAAAATTTTATAATAGAATAGAATATATAGATGAATTTAGATTTATTGAATATAATACATAGTTCATATAATAAAATTATAAACTAAAAATATTGTTTGCAACAAAAGATTTAATTTCATACATATTAGTGACGCCTCCTAATTTAAAATAGGATTCTAGCATGTTAAAATTAAACGGTTTATTATATTATTATTTTTTCGGTGCCTATCAAAGTCCTTATTAAAATCTTTTCTATCATAAGTTCTTTTATCCATCAATGTTATTCCATATTTCTTCTTATTTATATTTATTTCTGCAACAAATGTCTTATGCTCAAACACTCTTATGAAATCGCTTCAGTCTGATCAAAATTCAGACCTTATCGCGTGGTTCATACATTGAAGATACTACAATTAGACTGTTTTATTACTTATCGTCACTTTCAAATATTTGCAGTCTAACTCTTTTTTTTCTAATTGGCCGAAAATCTCCCTCACTTTGCAAATTTTCTTCTTGGTTTTCAAATATACTTTTATTTTGTAGTTCTTTCAAAACCTCTTTATATGGAGCCAAACAATTTTGAAATTCTCTTTTAAATTATGCACTGCGCATCGTTGAAGGATCATAAAAATTGAACACATCGAATGTGTTGCCATAGATAAATTTTTCAAGCCATTTGAGTTGTTGGAATATTCTTATACGAAAAATGCATTATAAGGAGACCGCGCTATAGGAGAACAGTCCCAATTTTCGTTCCGCGTTATAAAAACACCGTGTTATAGGAGACTTGACTGTACTCAATTTCAATTCAGTCACGTATTACTATATACAGGGTGTCCTAGCTAGTGCTACAATTTTTCAGGTACTTCGAAAAATTAAAAAAGTTATCATGATTCGAGAAAAAAGGTTTTCATACTACATTTCTGTCTATTGAAACAAAATTTTGATTACTGTTTACTATTCTATTATTTAATTTAAGAATATCGTAAAATATAGTTTTATTACTGAGATAGATATAATTTCAAGCAATTATTAAATTTAAATAAAGTAGGTATTTTTAAGATATTGAAAGACAAAAGATTAAGCACTTACTTTACCTTGAACTACCAGAAAGGCAAGAAAATTAAATTTCTTTCTTCCACATATCTACTAATTTCGTAATGATTGGTACATTGTATGAAACATCATGCTAATTTATAATAAAAATATAACAAATAATAATTTCAAGCTCATGTCATAATATAGTGATAAACTTTTGTTAATATCAATTAAGCAAGATTATTGAGTTTAGATACTTTTTAAAAATGTTCTTAAGATAAAAATGTGTGATTTCATATCACTTTAATTAAATTTGACATATTTTTATTATTTTCAGTAATTATATATAAACATATATATAAAATTATATTTATAAAATATTTTTATAGTTCACTTTTATCTCCCTTAATTAGTACTATCTAGAAAAATATTTTCTATCAATAATTATAATTCAAACTTCGTATATGTGTAGCTGGTCCTATCCCGCTTCGAGTACGCGAAGCCGAGATACCAATCGTAAGTGATGCGGAATGTATACGAAAAGTGAATGCTGTAACTGAAAAGATTTTCATTTTACCAGCAAGTAGCTTTTGCGCTGGTGGTGAACAAGGCAACGATGCCTGTCAGGTAATATTAATATATTTATTATATTAAAAGTTATATACTCATTTATTAAAGGTTATAAAATTGAAAACAAAATTTCAATAAGAGAGTTAGACATATTATTGCGAAATGTTATTAACTAATATCTAAAACATTAAAATTTCACATATATATGATAGATTAACTAAATTAAACTAAACTTAATTTAACTAAACATAATATTTAGGGCGACGGAGGAGGTCCTCTAGTATGTCAAGATGATGGATTCTATGAATTAGCTGGTCTCGTTTCGTGGGGTTTTGGTTGTGGAAGATTAGATGTTCCTGGAGTATATGTCAAAGTTTCAGCGTTCATTGGTTGGATCAACCAAATTATTTCCGTAAATAATCTTTAGCTATTTTATGTTTTATTAATAAAAGTTAAAGTATTTATTTATTAAGAAAACATTATAGTACCTTTACGCGCTTGATAATGTAACATTTTATGTTGCGTATCTGGCAAAGATGTATAAGAAAAAACCTCAAAAAATTATTTAATTATATAAATTAAAAAACTGAAAAAAGAGATACTTTGTTGACATATGATAAAAATAGTTATTTGTGCAAAAAAATATTTTGAAAATGTTACGATAGTCGTAATATATTTGAAGTAAAGTAATATCGTAGCTTTAATAATTAAAAGTAATTAAAGGTTTGCTAATGACTTTATGTAACTAACGCAGTAAACTTCCGTTTATCCAACTTTTCAAATATTTTATTACAATTTTTTAAGTATTGAATTATTTTCGCCAAAGGTAAAACATGTCTATAGTTTCTTAAACAAATGTGAGCTTTAACATTATAAGATGTTGGTAAATAAAAATAATATACATTTAACACATTGTACACTGGTCAAATTTTAACTGTTACAGGGGACAAATATGTAAAACAAGATATATTAAATACCTTTTACTTTTTCACAAAATAGAGCGTGTAATATATATTTCAAGAAAATATACTGTACTTCTAGCAAATTCTAAAATTAAGGTTAAACAAAAGAGAAATGATAACAGGCACCTACAAGCATGTGTATAGCAATACCAGAATCACATATCACAGGACCAGTGTACAATGAGTTAAAATACAAAAAGAAACAAATTTAATTCTTTTAATTTTAATATGGTAACAAAACCATAAATTTTATATTTTTTAGTTATATATATTTTGTAAATTTTAATAAATCTTGTTCCTGTAGTTGCTCAAACATAATTTTATATTTATAGGAAAAACGAAAGTTTATTGTATGTTTATTAATTATATAGAATATCTAAGAATATAAATTTAAATGTCATTGATAAAATATATTAAGATTAATTTATGAGTTTTTTCTGATAATCGTGCCATCAGGTGCGTCAATTTTAGATGAAAAAATGTTGTTTTATATGATGCAATAAAAATTCTTAGTTAATAAAAGGGGTCATACAATAAACAATAAAATTATTGGCACAGACATAAAGTTATTGAAAAAGTTGTCAAAAATGTAAAATATTTTAATTTTTTTAAATAATGTAAAAGGCTAAATATTAGTGTATTATTACATTAATATGTTAAACATTAGTAATGATATAGATTTTACTATAATTACTATGAAATATTGACTTAAGAATTTAATGAGTAGTCAAAGTGATTAAGTGTAAATCTTTTGTTATAATGCATAATATGATTCATATACTTTCAATATACAAGTAGCAATATTATTTTAAATAACAATATTGATTTTCACTTTCTTTGTACAACAAAAGACGTATAAATATTGAATCATTACTTTGTTTCTATTACTTCTTTAGTTGGTCATTGCTTATTTTAAATGCTAAAGTAATATTTTAATCTTTTACTTTTGATTTTTGTGATTTGTTTGTGTTTCTGCCAACAATTTTATGATTCATTACTTACATGTCATTTATTTATATTAAATGACATGCTACAAGTGAAAGTCAATTTCATAGATGTTAAAACATTTTTGTTAGGGCCAAAATATAGTGATATATGTTTAAAGTAATTTTTTAGTAATATGTTTTTAATAAGACATTATAACTGATATATGTATGTATGTATGTTTATTTTTATTATTATATGTGTATATTTACCATGTTTACAGAATTGGCTCTTTATTTTATGTATACGTTGTTCAATATTTACATTGTGTAGATTCAGTATATTCGGGGACAATATCATACTGCTTTGTACATTATTGCATCACTCGTAATATATTTTTCAAGTTCTAATTATAAGAATGTTTTATCGATTTAAAAAAAATGAAAATATAAAATGTGAATATCAAAGTTAGTTACTAAGTATTTTAAATCTATAAAACATTATTGTAAAACATTATTGTAAAAAATTTTTTTATAATTCAACGTCAACATTATGTACCTTTAAAGTGGACAATACCATATTATTTTATTATAAATATAAATTTTTTATTACAAGTTAATGTAAAACTTGTTATCCAGTATGAAAATTATTTCATAGTCCTTCTAGTGCAAAATGATCATAGCCAGTTTTTTATTTCTCCTTTATATTAATTTATTATTTATATAATGTCATATAATTATGTATGGTTTAATTCAATAATTTAACAATTTTGTACATTATTTATTTATGAATATATCTTCAAGATTAAATGTCTGTTAAATAATATTATGTTGTAGCAGAAAATGTACATACACATTATAATGTATGTACTACATTATAGACTTCATGTTGAATCAAAAATTAAAAAACATAATGGTGAATTTAATTTTATTTACAATAAATATTTATGTTATATCAAAATTTGAAATGGTAATATTTTTTAAGATACAATGAAAATTTTAAGTTATAAACTTAAACTACATGCTTTGAACATTAGTATTTTATTTAAAAAATATTACTATTAAATATTTTTTAAAATAACTTCTCAACGATTATTTATAAAATAATATCATATTCATTTTCAAGCAGGAACATTTCTTTTACAGCAATGATTTGCTAATTCATGTTTTTAAATTTTTTATCTGCTACAGTTTTAGATAAATTCACATAAATGTGTACTTATTTGCAAAACTTAACAACATGCGTGATCAGCATATGAACTTGATAGGCATTTAGTATAAAGCAGTTTGAATAGTAAAATGTAATGTATGTGGAAATATTACACATATATTTCTACTTAATGGAACTGGAAGATAGGTTTACTGTCTTTCTTTTGGAGAATAACAGTCTGTTCGAAAGCAAGTGGGCAAAATTTTTGTTATAAATAAAAATAAAGCAAAACTGAAAAATAACAAAATAACAAAATTTGAGTCTTTATTTAATTATAAATGTATAAAATGTTACTAAAATTAGGCAAATCTTTGTATGTCACTAAATGCAGGGTAAGTCAAGATAAGAAGAAACATAGTCATCCTTAAGAATAATGATACATGAGTATCAGTATATCTCGTAAAAATTAGAGGACAGGACACTGTAACATTTGGTACTGCGAATGATGTTATGACAATAGCAAAAATAAATGATTAAATGTTAAACATACCTACTTAATAAAACATATAACTTTTATAACTTTCACAATCAAAAAGGAAATAATTACTGACTTTTCCATATGCAAATCTATCTGCACAAATAATTCATATACTTACACATAGCTTACAAACATCATGTAAAATGAAATTTTTTAAAAATAAGAACGAATGGGAAATATTTTTTATGATTTTATAATAAATATATCATTATATGTATATGCAAATATAACATAATATAATGTAAATATACCAAGAATATATGCAATAATTAAATATATATGTGTTAAACGGGACTCAATCTGGTATTTACTATCAACGTCGATTACGCGTAGCTACAAACCTGCCGCGTCTAAACAAATGAACAATAATTGCGTAGCGGTAAAACACAGATTACTTACGCGTTGCAGATGTACATTTTATCGTCCTATCGACATTGAAGATCATCCCAACGTTTTCTTTGGATGATTTCTTCTTTAGAAAAATTTACAGAATACGACACTGTATAGCAAATTCGTGCTGGATAAAGAACTTTTTATAAAAATCCAAGAATTATTCAAAATAATTATTCAAAAGCATAAATAATTATAATTATGGATATCGACAAACTTCGGAAACTTTCGCCTAAATTTTAAGATAAGGATGAACCTTCTAACGTTTTTACTTTTTATGTAATACTTTATTTTAACCAAAAGTCGTGTGTTTTTAGAAAAACTCACAATTTTCGAAAACTGATGGTAATAGAGCAATTTCGATTATAAATTCATGTTCAGAATGGTAAGTTCTACAAGAGTTACCCAATGGATATTACAGATTTGAGAAAAAGTTAAAATCTACTTTTTTCTTGAAAAACATTCTTTTCTATTATGCTTTTAGACATAATAAACGTGATTCATTTTTATCTTAATCAGAATAATTAAGATGATTTAAATAAAACGTTATAACCTGTTTTTATGGAAACTAATGAAGGTATTAATTTTATCTTTTATTTTAAATTAGATAACTTAGAGGACTAATCTATAATAAATAACTATTGATACTATAAAATATTTGATACATTATGTACATAATATAAATTTTAATATTTAAACATCACATTTTTGTTTTCTTGTAATATTTATTTTTATCTATTTATATAACTAATTCTTTATCATATATGTATAAATTTATACAGAACAGACTAAAGAAGAAATTATTAGAAAATAATAACTAATATTAATTATAAAATAATGTTCTACAGATAAAAAATATAGTAAGAAATAATTAACTATGCTTACAAAATTAATGGTATGAATTGAAATATTAAATACCATGATACAGCAATTACAATATAAATGGTATATATGAAATATATTTAATCAAATTAAAATCGGTTTACTAAAACATTATAAACAAATTAAGAAAAAAAAAAATGATTTACAAATAAATTTAATGATAAATGAATATAAGAGAAACGTACATTATAATGAATGTAACACTTCAAAATCATGTGATCAAGAGAAAGAAATAAAATACTAAGGAATTCAACATTATGTATATATATATATAACATAAAATCGTATATAATAAAACAAAACAAAGTAATTAAATAATACGAGAATGCAGTACCAAGCTGTGCAATAATATTTAATTAAAATAACCTAATAATTTATCATTTAAGATTATTTAATTAATAAATATTTAGAATAGGTTGGCAGATTAATATTTTTTGTAATAACACAAAACATAGTAATTCACAAAACAATAATCAGATATTACTTTCTATGAGAAAAAATAAAAACAAACATAAATAAAAGTTAATATTAATCTTTATCTTATAATATTTACAATAAAAATTATGTACATAAGATCATAACATAACATAATACAACTTATGACCTCATAAACATTTTGCTATATCAACCAAACTATTTCTTATTCAATATATTGAATTAAAACCTATGTACATCGCTAAACTTATTACAAAACCTATTGTACATAATTTTATATAAAATAAATTAATGCATTTACATAGACATTCATTAAAACTTAATATACATTATATAAACCAATCAAGTGAACTACCAAGTTTATTTCTTTGGTAAAAATCTTAAAATTATTTTACCACAAGAATAATAAATATATAGATTCCTTTACTCTGCTTTAGAGCTTATATGAAAGTTATATTTTAATAGAAAAACTAGCACCACAACTACAACCTTGTTCAGCTAAAGGATTATTAATTATTCTAAATGCAGAACGTATTAATTCTGTATGATATTCTATTGTTGACCCTTTAATATATTCTAAAGACGTTGAATCTATAACCACTTTTGCTCCATCCTTTTGAAATACTCTGTAATGTAACATGGTAATTAGTTAATTTTCAAAGAAAAAATTACAATCATATGAATATCTTAAATATTACAGCACTCACTTATCATTTTCATTTATATTAGTATCTAAATCAAATTTATATTGAAAACCAGAACAACCTCCACCTTCTACAGTGACTCTTAAATAAGCATTATTATGTGCAATTTCCTTTAAACGTTTTACACAACTATCTGTAATGATGATATCATTTTCGGTTTTAACAGCACTTTCCATTAATGAATTATTTACTAATGAAACTGCAGATACATTATACCACTGAGAACTATGAACAAAAATTATTTTACAATTCATTGCAAACAAAATTATATTGTAACAAGATATACAAATAACATTAAGGTATAAAAATACAGTACAAATTATTATACAAATTAAAAATTTTTTGTTAAATTTGAACTTTATTAGTTTTATTTCATACTTAAGTGGAAATATATAATTTTTCGTATAAAAAGAAATTTAAATAAATATAATAAGAATTAATTCAAAAATCCACTTTAGAACTTACGTTAATAAACGTGAAAAATATCGATTTGCAACAAAATTAGAAGAAATACTCCAAATAGCATGTTTCAGTTTCGCCATGTTTTTAATATAAGTGACAATCACAAATATATAATATTAGAGATGCGATCTACTTGATTAAAATAGATCTATTACTAAATATATAAAAGAAACAGAAAAAACATTGCACAAAAATTCTTAATAATGAAAATTAAGCAAATATTATGAAATTGAGTTATTAGTATTACATAAAGTCATGTTTTCATTTATTACTTTAAACAGAGTATAACTAGTTTAAACCTTTGTAAATGTACTACATTTCGAAAGTAGCGCACCTAGTGGTCTTATTAAGTATTATACATTTTAAATTTGTTGACATTCAAATTGTAGTAATTAATTTTTTGGTAACTATCAATTTCAACAAATTCTTTTTTTAAAATACGTATTTTAAAAACTTTATTAATACAAATGTATATCGTATAATCCAATCTTTTGATTGATATGAACTTTATTGTACAATGTCATCTCGGGATAATGAAAACAAAAAATACAACTAGAAAATTACTACTACGATTTGGATATGAAATAATTTAAAATGAATTTATGTAATACTAATAAATTAATTTAGGAATATTTGCTTAATCTTCTTTATTAAGAATTTTAATGCAATTTTTTTTTATCTCTTTTATATATTTGGTAAAAAATTTATCTTGATCGAATAGATTTCATCTATTATATATATTTCTGACTGTCACATACATTAAAGTCATGGCGAAATTGAAACATGCGATTTGGAATATTTCTTCTAATTTTGTTGCAAATCGATATTTTTCACGTTTATTAACGTAAGACTAAACTAGATTTTTAATTAGTATTTGTTATATTTGTTTGTATTTTTTCTTTTATAGAAAAATTATATATTTCCACTTAATTATAAAATAAAATGAATAAAAACCAAAATTTGACAGTAAATTTTTAATTTATACAATAATTTGTGCTGTGTTTTGTAGCTTAATGTTATTTGTATATTTTGTTAGAATATAATTTTGTTTGCAATGAATTGTAAAATAATTTTTGTTCATAGTTCTCAGTGGTATAATGTATCTGAAGTCTCATTAGTAAATAATACATTAATGGAAAGTGCTGTTAAAACCGAAAATGATATCATCATTACAGATAGTTGTGTAAAACGTTTAAAGGAAATTACAAATAATAATGCTTATTTAAGAGTCACTGTAGAAAGTGGAGGTTGTTCTGGTTTTCAATATAAATTTGACTTAGACACTAATATAAATGAAAATGATAAGTGAGTGCTGTAATATTTAAGATATTCATATGATTGTAATTTTGTCTTTGAAAATTAACTAAATGTCATATTACATTACAGAGTATTTCAAAAGGATGGAGCAAAAGTGGTTATAGATTCAACATCTTTAAAATATATTAGAGGGTCAACAATAGAATATCGAACAGAATTAATATGTTCTGCATTTAGAATAATTAGTAATCCTTTAGCTGAACAAGGTTGTTCTTGTGGTACAAGTTTCTCTATTAAAATATAACTTTCAACTAAGCTTTAAAGTACAGGAATCTATATATTTATTATTCCTGTGGTAAAATAATCTTAAGATTTTTACCAAAGAAGAAAACTTGGTAGTTCATTTGATTAATTTATATGATGTATATTAAATTCTAATGAATGTCTATGTGATTGTGTTAATTTATTTTATATTAAATGATATACAATAGGTTTTCTGGTAGGTTTTAGTGATGTACATAAGTTTTAATTCAATTATTGAACAAGAAATAGTTTGGTTAATACAGCAAAATGTTTATGAAGATATAAATGATAATATATGTTATGATCTTATATATATATTTTTGTTGTAAATATGTATAAAATGAACACTAATAATAATTTTTATTTAGTTATTAATTTTTGTCATCATAAATAAGTTCAGAACATTTCATGATATTTTAATTATTGTATAATTAAAACGAATTGTGTATTCTGGTTGGAAAGTGCATATATATTTAAAATTTAATTTACTTATGAATTTAAATAAATTATTATTAGAATTTTAATAATTGTTTATTTATAATTTCATTTGAATCATTTTGTTTTCCTTCCTTTATTGTTATGAAAATTATAAAGTTAATATATTGACTATTTAAAATAATAGCATTTACATTTATAGTGAACTATTTGCATGTTTTGTAAGTTGAAGATTTAACTCGTATATCTTTTCTATTTGAGGTTCATTTGTTAATATTATGTAGATTTTCACTTGTAATCACTGCATTTTCTTTTAATGTACCAAATGTAGAATGTATGACAAAATAATGTATTTTTTGTGTAATTGGATTTTTTCAGAGATGCGTTTGATTTAGCTTATTTGTACTATGTAATTTAATGATTATCAATTCTTGCAAAGATTCTAACGGTTTTGATTAAAATGTTACATTTTAGTTGTTTTATCCAAATAGTTGCCTTAAATCTATTAGTAAATCGTTTGACGCTGATAATAAATTCTTAAATAGTAAATTCTATAATAGTTAAATAGTAAAATGATTGATCAAGTCGTTCATATTTTTTAAACATTTATACATAATATCAAACTAGTGTTAATGATTTAATTCCTTGAAAATTTTTTCACATGTCGATTTTTTATTACTAGTTATTGCTGATTGTTACTATTGCTGTATATATACTGTAGTAAATAATGTTACGTTAACCTTAAATTGAACTATTCTAAATACATAAATTTGATATTATTTATTATATTATTATGCTACTAATGATTTAAATCTTCGCGCAAAATAAATTCAGTAAACTGACTGGTTGAACTATACAAATAAATGCTCTCCTTTTAAATGATTATCTTTATTCCTGTAGATAGCTTTAAAGGATTAGTGAATTCTAGTCTTTTGTAGAAAAACTATATGATACATAATTTTTGAAGAATCAGTTATAAGTAACGGTCAATTATTCGTTTTTGAAACGATAGGTTATGTAACAAGAATTACGTTATTGGTTTGTTCTGCATTTGCTTTATAAATTTTCTCAAATCATAAATGTGGGAATAAATAAGTTTTACTAAATTGTTCCGTAAACAAAGTTAGTTTAGTTTAGTTGTTGTATTTTGTATCGCGAAATTAATTGTTGCTTACAAATTGGTAACTCGAAAATTGAGATTTTCTAAAACTTTGCAAGTTTGTAAGTAATGTTAATAAAAGTGTAAGAGAATTTCTTTTTTGTTTCATTTGTTTTTCATTTCATTTCTCTTAAAAGTTATTGATTACAATATAAAATAAAGGTGTAAACGAAAAATATTTCGTTTCAACTTATGCAATACTTCAAGGTTTTATTATTGTTTGATTAAAATTTATAATATATTTACATATCAATATTTGTTACTAATTTTGAAGATATATAGAAACAGTAGGAAACATACAATAACCATAAAAAAATAAATCTATGCGAAAAAATCAAAAACACTAAAAATATTATTTATTAATACTTTTAATGAGATACTTTACATACATATCTGCAAAGTTTCATAAAAACTATTATTCTCAGTTTATTGTTTTTTTTTTTTTTTCATAGTGTTGCTATATATTTTAGTGACTATGTGTTTTATATAAAATCTCATAATTGTGTCTAGTGTCGAGAAAAATGTGTTCATGTGTAAACTGAAATTAGACTCTTCAAGTTGTTTCAATGAAATGATGTTTAAAATATTTCTCATAGAGGTAAGATTTGAAATGTTAATGTTTTGAAGAATTATTAATATTTATTTATTTTTAATTGGTCAGTTTATTTAGAAATAGGCACAATTGTTATTTGTATAATTTGAAGTAATAAAATAGAGATAGACAATTTTGTATCTACTATTTATTAAGTGCAGAATGCTTAATTATTTTTGCCCAACAAATACCTTAAGAAATGAATGAAATTGTAGGAAAAAATTGTATTCAATAATTAATCTTTTGTGTTTCAAATTATATTTTATACTTTACTCTAATTGGTTCATAGTGAAGTATCTACTTGGAAGCATTACACAAAATTTAATATTATTTTTATATTTTTCAAATCAATAGTGTAGTCATATTTATATATTTTTGATAAATTAAATTAAAACACAAATGTCTTATGTATAAAAATAAGGGAGAGTCAAATGAAACATCATTTGACATATGACTCTTATATAACAAAACATTTGTTTTTATTTTCAAATGAAATTTTAATTTTTTGAATCTTTTCATGGATAAAACTTTAAAGGACCTCAGTAATTGTTCAATATGAAATTTGAGATGAAGAGAAAAATGAGGAACAAACTTTAAATCTAAAATTCTAGCACCAGGAATTTCATAGTTTCTAAGATATTAATAAAACACTTTTTATACAATTCATTGAATTTTACCTATACATTATGCACAGTTGTATGTATATATGTTATACATCTAATGTAATATATATGTCAGACTATCTTCTACCTATTGTTTCTGTAAATTTTGAATTGGATGTTTTTTCTCAATGAAAAACTGACAAGTATAAAATATATTGGTTTCACAAACATGCATTTATATGAAATATTAGAAGTTTCAATCAATATAAGTCATCATATGTAATATATTCATGATGGTGCTCCATTACATTATAGCCGAGTACTTAGGCAATCTTTAAATGAACGATTTCAAAATAAATGGATTGAATGAGAATTATCCCCATGCATCCTATTGTGTAAGCTCTTCCTTTCTTTGATTTAAATCCATTGGATATTTACATATAGGGAAACTTAAAATCAGTTGTGTATGCAATATTTATTGAAAATGTTGAAATATGAAAGTTTAGAATGCAGCAAGGTTTGCAAGAAGTTCAGAAACACCAGAAAAAATTAGGGAGTAACTCGATATATGATAAGATGTCTACAAACTAGTTTTGAAATGCAAAATAGTTATTTTGAGTATCTCTTGTAAGTAGGTAACACAACATCAAAACAGAAAATTTATTATACTTCATAAACGAAGAAGATAGAATATATGTTTATATGAATCTTTTTCATCCCTGTTAGGTGTACAATCAGATCCTGAAGTGAATCCCATATATTACGTTATATTTTGTATGTAATAGTAACCAATAGATACAATCAATATATACAGGGTGTATGTTTTATTTGGACTGAGTGAAATATCTTGGAAGCAATGAAAGAGAAAAAAAAAGTGTTAAGACAAAAATTGTTTGATATAAAGTAGGACACAATGTGGTATAAATTTCTTTGTAGAAGAAGTGATGGATAAAATATCAAGATTAAGATAGTTTTCTTTTTAATAGAATGCTATGTTTTTTTATACATAATCAGAAAGTGTACACTAATCCATTGAGATGCTAACAGTGTCATTTTGTTCAGTGGAAAATTATAAAATCATCAGATAATATATCTTTTATTTTTTGCTATCGTCCTCATATTGCCTACTGCTATTGTAAATAATGTCCCTTATATTTTTCCAAAGGGATTTGATGTATATTATAATAATAGTAAAAAGTAATAATAACGAATAGCTAAACTAAGGATATTAGATTGTCATCAATCAAAATCAGAATTGTATTATCTGATTTGTTGTCCACTGGTACATTTTATTTGTATGTTTCCAGCTAGATATTATTCAGTGAAATTAAAGAATCAAAATGAAATATCATTCTATGAAATACATATTTGTTTGTCTCCAGTCTTAAATGTTTTTGACTATGATGTCTTCTATTCTTTTTACTTAATTTATTTGTACTTTCTAAAATCTCCTCTGATTATTCCAATTGGTAATAAGTAATTTTTGGACTGAAAGTCCATGTACTAATAGTTTTTGTATAGAAGGAGGTGTATAAAAGGTTTTGCTGTGTCTGTGCAATATTTTGTGAATGCTGTATAATTTATATTAATTCTATAGCAAAGATAATAGATTTGAGTATGAGTGGAATCTATCTATTAATTCAATATCAATTTGATATCAATTCAATATCAATTAGAAAAAAAAACATATAAATTAGTTTTAATATCTTTATTAATAACAAATTTTGTAATTGAGATATTTAAAGGAATAATACCAGTAATTTCAGATGATTTTTTACTATTTTGAAAAACTGTCGTGTTCCTATTACGGGTCAATGTGACGTTGATTAAAAATAAAAGTGCTCGGTGTTGCACTGATAGGCAACAGCGAATTATTATGCGAACTTTAACTGCTTATTTGGATAATTAACTACAATGAGCCCTTGCTCAATCAATAGCAAACCGTCCAATTCATGTAAAGATACTTACAAGGGGACCTTACAGCTGTGGATATAGTCTTTGGTACGGTAGTAGGTACAAGTTATAGTACATACCTAGTATTAAAAACCCTAATGGGTTTCTTCAAAATGGGTCTCTGTTTTCGATTTTGATTAAAAATTTTATATATACCTTGTAAATGAATTATTTAACATTCTTTAGCAAAGTGAGTCGTAGGTAAGCTGATAGCCCGGTTGACTGAAAAGAGGCAGGGAAAAGTAGGTTTGAATCTCCCG